CAGAAAATCAGGGGGTGACTGAGCAAGTTGCCTGGTGTTGACCTCTAGCCTTCATGCACATTGAAAGCATTCTATACACCCATCCCCCAGGGTCATTTGCTTAGCTCTTCTCTCATATCCTGAGCTAATAGATCTGGGGTGTGACTTGGGTGTCAGAATTTAAAGAAATGACATGTAGCTGGGGTTGGGAACCCTCTGTTTTCCATTCTGCGCCTCTGTTTGAACAACTGTGGGTTATCAGGTATTTAAGACTATTTCATGGTGCTCTGTCTCTAGAAGTCTACTTGAAAATGATCCCTAGCCAAGTTGGATAACCTGCATCGTCCAGGTAGCATTTCTCCCTGGGCTGGGGCCAGCTTCTGTATGGTTTATCTTTCTATGGAGATGTAATGTGACTCAGTTTGGTGTTCTAGTGACTTCGGAAATAGGTCAGGATTACTTTGCAGTGCAGCTCAGCTATTGCCTGAGGTTTGCTGTTATCCTTCTGAGGCCGTCTGCCTGGGGCAGGGATGGTTAGCAGTGACCACGATGAGCAAGTCCAAGGAGAAAGAAAGCTGCCCCAATCACAGAGTTTTTCTTAATTGCTGCCCACACCGTTAACAAAAGTGGGGAACATAGACTGCAGAATAAAATCAATAGTCACTAAAATACCCTTTAATGGGATTCAGGGGCTTTTGACTCATGGGTATGAACTTGGTAGATTGGTTTCAATGGATCATTTCCCCCTGTTATCTGCGTTATAGTGAACAGCTATTCATCATTGTAAATATTTGTGTGCTGGCTGCGGCTGACCTGTCTGCACACATGGGTTCCGAGGCTATGACTTTGCTGTGCTCCTTCTCAGTCCTGCCAGTGTGTTGGCATCACCTGGAGATCTTGGCCAGCTACTCAGGTCTCTCTGCTATAGCTTGTCTGGAGCATAACCTGGACATCTGGCCATGAAACAATCCCCAGGTGGTCCTAACATTAGCCTGGTGGTGAATGTCACCCACTATCGGAGGTGTTCAACCATTTGATGCTGGGATATGGTGGTGTTAGTCTGTAAGTGTGTTGAGAACATCCGTAGTTATCCTGGGATGTGTGTGGCCCACAGGTTGGACACTCTTGCAGGGACTCTTCGACGGGAAAACCGCATCTGTGGGCCATCGAGAGTGAATTTTCTTAGATGAGAACCTTCACATAGAGCCACACAGTGACGGGAAGTGCAGATGGCTTTTATTCTCCTCACTCAAGCCGGCACCCCATCAGCTGCCAGTCTGTGACCTGCAGCCCAGCCTGTCTGCCAATGAGCTAATGGGATGTTTATCTGATGACCTGCTTCCATCCTCTTTGAGGGAGTGACAGCTAGAATTGCTGAGCCAATAACAAATGCTGCTTGTGTTGGCATTTTTGCCCTCCCAGCTGGTTAGGGAGCACACTCTGGACTGTTTAGCCATTAATGGAGGAAAGAAAATGAGCGCCCAGGGTGGGGCGGATGGAACTAGGAGCAGTATGCAGGCTGGAGAGAACTCTTTGAACTTGCCTCAAAAACGCTCTTTCCTTCCTTTCTCCCAAATCTTACACCAGCTTCCTCCGAGGTGCGGGAGCATGTGTGTGTAGCACAGACGGAATGAAAGGCTCCGGAGGGAGGGTGTGACATCGAAGACAGGTCCTTTTGTTTTGCATGACACCCCCAGTCCATGCTTCCGCGGTGTTGGGAAAGATGTTGGGCCTTTTATTGGACTTAACTAATAAGACTTTCTCATTTGGATTAGCTTGCTAACCCCGGGCTTTAGGACTCTGGGAAAATTAACTTCCTGGCACATGAGTAAAGTACATTCTTGAAGTTTCCCATGAAGGTTAATCAGATTAACCCCAGGGTAACATGTTCTGTCTAGCTGAATAAAGTGGCTATAGGTTAACTGAGCCTTGTTATTGACCCTTTATCACTCGATCCTTAGACTTGACCCCAGAGGGGTCTGGCTGGCGCCTTCTGGTGAGGAGGAATTTCACAGGTCTTGCCTGAGTCACTGAACCTACCTGAAAGATGAACTTTAGTAACTGTCTAGTAGCTTGTGTCTGGACAGGGTAGGAACTAGATGGACCAATACAGCCAAGGCCCCCGGGAGGAGAAAGAACTTGCATTTCTGAGGGACTTTGTGACTCCTGGGGAAGGGACAGGCCGATCCTTTTCCCTCCCAGGCCTTTCTTTTTAGAACTCCATAAAGTGCTCCACGAAATAAAACTCTACTTTACAATGTGGCAAGAAAATATGGGGCCTACAAACTTTTTTTTTTATTTTGGGTACAATCATGAAGACCTTTTAGTTATTTTTTTGACAGCTAAAATGGTACTTCAGATATGTTGAAATGCTCCTTGAGTTTTAAGTGGTCATTTTGACCTCAAAACTCTTCCTTCTATGTTTATTTAAATTTCTCCACATTCAGTCTAGAATCTTCCACTGCTGTCTTCATGGCATCAAGTGCCAATTTGACTTGTTTACTGTGGTTGGTGTCACATGCAGGAGATAGAAGTAGAAAAGATAGGTCTGCAATGAGGCATTTTAAAAACGGGAATTCCATCACAGTTTTGAGTGATGGTGAGCTCATTAGAATGTGAATCTGTCCCAGAGTGGAGTCTTCACAGCACTGAGGTATGTTTACAAAATTCTGTTGTAACTGCTTTGTGAAATTATTAGTGTTTTCTAGTATCATCTAGTGCATATATAGTAATATAAAGTCATTTTTGATAAATGTCTAAAAGATGCCATAGCCTTTTAGAAATAGTATATGCTAATTGATATAAACATTTGCAAATCTAATCATGCATATATGTGTTATTATATAGCTGACCTGGACTTGGGCTTTATCTCAACGAAGATTCCTTAGTTAGAAACAAAAGCAGCCAGACAAGAAACATTGGCCTGGGCTGACAGGCTTGATGGGTGAGGCAGGAGGTTAGACTTCAGGTTAGGCTTGACCTAGCTTATCATTATACAATTCCTTAATCCCCAGCTCTCCCCTGGCAGCTGACAGAGGCAGCTCCAATGAGGGGAAGGTCTTCTACTGAATTGGGATTTGAGGTAGGCTGGCTTGGGTTACTGTCGTTACCCACTGCTTCCAGATGTGTGGAGTTAGGGTCACATCTGTTTCTGGAAGTCCCCAGGTGACTGTGGGCACCACTCTGCCTGCTATCCCTGGCTTCCCGCAGGCCACCACACTCCAGGCTAAAATGTGGTGGTGTAGACTTAGGACACTCACCTGGACCTAAGCCATCTTTCTAGCTCCACAGCTGATGATGTGGCTGCTTCTTTCCTGTTTCCACAGTGAACAGTTTAAACTGATCAACTCCTCCTTCCACTGGGACCAGGGAGAAGGGTGAGCTTTGCCCACTTAGGACAGGCTTAATCCCTCTGAGATTGCTTCCTCTAGACCAGTGGTTCTCAGCCTGGGGGTGGGGAGGTGGGGTCAAACGACCTTGTCACAGAGGTTGCATGTTAGATATCCTGCATATCAAATATTTACATTACAGTTCACAGCAGTAGCAAAATTACAATTATGAAGTAACAATGAAAATAATTTTATGGTTGGGGTCACCACAACATGAAGAACTGTATTAAAGGGTCGCAGCATTAGGAAGGTTGAGAACCACTGCTCTAGACTTTGAGATATTGGCTCATACGATGATGATGATGATGATGATGATGATGATGATGATAAATGATAATAGACAATGCTTATGAATATTTTTCTGACTTTGCCCAGTATTCATTATTGGGAACAGTGGCCTTTTATGTTGTATTTCTTTTCTACAAGAAGAAACTTAAAAAAATGGGTGGGAGTTGGGGGGAGCAGGGACTCAGCAGGCAAAGCTTTTGCCATGTGAGTATGAGGGCAGGATCCCAGCACCCATGTGAATGCCAG